CCTTGGCGGCAGAGAACCGCTCTCAGGTTGAATCCCTCTGTTTAGCGGGCGCAGAAACTGAGGGTTCACTCCACCTCGACGAGCCGAGTAGACACACCATGGAAACATTGAGGGAGTCAGGAACAATAGGCCGACGACTCCGGTAAGATGGATCCCATACAGCACAGCGGACAGAAGAATTCACGCTGGCTTTCAGTCTAGTAGCGGCACCTCCTTGTTTGCCGTGTCTTCTACTGTGTTTTTTTGCGAGGAAGATTAGAGGTGTGCCAACACAGTTGCTCCGGGATATTCATCCAGGGTGATGAGGAGAACGGGTGAGAACCGCTCCATAAATCCTTATTAATATTAAGTCAAGTCAAGTCACATTTATTTATATAGCGCTTTTCACAATACAGATTGTATCAAAGCAGCTTCACAGTGATAACATGAAAGTAGCACAACACAGATCAACAACATTGCTAAACACTTAATAACCCCAACTGAGCAAGCTCAAAGCAAGCCAAAAGCAAGGCGACAGTGGCAAGGAACCAAACTCCATCAGATTGGATGGAGAAAAAACCTTGGGAGAACCCAGGCTCAGTCGGGGGCCAGTTCTCCTCTGGCTTACATTCATATTGTTTAAATATAAATATTAAATATAAATATTGTTTATGAATCAAACGGCGCCATAACATATCGCAGGCGTTGAGTCGTCTCATCACAGGCGTTGAGTCGTCTCATCACAGGCGTTGGGGCATCCGAAATCCCCGTGAGAGGCTGGACACAAAACTGGACCTGACGAACGCCATTTTTCTCGGGACAAGCGTATTATAAGCATAATATTAATGACTGAAGTTTTCAAACCTAGCAACATTTGCCAATCATAAATAAGATTTGTAGGCCATGTTTTGATCACAGAGAAGCAGAAAATACTGAAAATAATCCACAATAGGAGGAACGACAGACGGCTTGCAAAACACAGCGGCGCCATCTTGTCAGTGTCTCAAAATGCCTCTCTTCCCACGCTAGTCAAATCTATCTTATTTCAGTTGACAGCCACTGCAATGGTCTGGCTAAAGCCTGGAACACACCAAGCCGTCGCCAACGAACTAGCGCTGATGAAAGCCGACTGTGTTGTCGCCTCTCGTCCGCTCTCGTCGAGGTAAAAAGCTGCACTTGAACACACCGAGAAACTGCAGCCGACTGTCAGCTAGAGTGTGCGTTCTGCGCCTGCGTTTAATGAGCCAACTGTCTGTTTCTGCAGATATATTAGCCTATATTTGTCATTCAAAAGGAAAACCGACATTGCTGGGTGCAGATACACATAACATAAACAAAGCAGCGCTTGCTTACCCTTTTGAATATCAATCCTGCTAAACATTTTCTTTATTCCACTCCGCTCATGTTAATATTGAAATATTCGCCAAGGAACACTCAGGTAAGAAGATGTAACATAAGAACAGCTTTCTATCTATACCGTTTTGACTTCTTTGCTTGCTGTTTTGCTTTTATTCTCGTGCACTGACTCTTTCACTAAGCTGAACAGCCAATCAGAGTTCTCTCTTTCCCCAACGGCGATTTTACATGTCGAATCGGGTGAAACAAAGCCGACGAGGACTATTTTCAGCCAACGAAACCGTGCATATCACACCGAGGAAACTTAGTTGGCTGACGCACAAAATCTGCAGACAGCCGACCGTTGGCTTGGTGTGTTCCGGTCTTAACAAACCACTGATGTACTTAAAGAATTAAAACAAGCTTGATGACACATGAAAATTTATGAATTTATAATGAAGATCAAGCCAGAGAGATTTAGCAAGATGTGAGTTATATAATCAGGCATAAAAAACGTCTCGGTTACGTATGTAATCCTCGTTCCCTGAAGGAGGGAATGGAGATGTAGTCCACGTGTTGACTGATTGGGATCACACTATCTTCGAGTACTATTAAAATGTAATTGGTGTGTGTGAAATGCATTACACACTCCGCCCCCATGGCCGGGTATAAATACGGAAGTGGATGAATGCACTAGTTATTTTCCACTGAGGAGCCAAGCGTAACTCTGAGTCAGCAGTGGTCCAACAATATCGTCTCCATTCCCTCCTTCAGGGAACGAGGGTTACATACGTAACCGAGACGTTCCCTTTCAGTTGCTCACGTTCAACGTAGTCGACATGTTGACTGATTGGGATCCTAATTAAAACGCCATCAAGTGCTGCCTCCTTCCAGTGCCTAAACAAAAGCCTCCAGATCCCCCCTCAATTAAGGCGGGAATAGGACAGGACTTTGGTCAGGAAAGACACTGCTGTTCCTACAGGACCACTGGGAAAGCGTTCCCTGAGCATGGAGGAAGGGACGCTGTGGAAGCCACATCCTGGTAACATGGTAACAAGGAGAATACACATGGAGAATACACATTAGAACTGGTTGGGTGACCGGGCAGTCACCCACCCTTTTGACTAAAAGGGGGAACTCATCTGCAGATAAGAATTGTGCACATATCCATTCCATAGGAGGGGAATGGTGCAGCAAGCTGTGAAGAGAGCCCACGGGAAGCAGCGGTTCGATTAAGGTGTCGCCTAGCCCTTAACTCTAGAATATCTATCAGCGAAGCACTATTGTGTCAACGGTCTAAGCGGGAGCATACACTTATTTAAGAGGAGCTCACCACCTAAGTGGACATGTGCATCTCGGGAATTTCACCAAGATGAAGGCAGCCGCTTTCAGTGGGCCAAACTCTTAACAGGTAAGAGCTGGTCTGAGGTCCTAAGGCTTGCATTCTCTGCACGTAAAACCGCAATGAAGTGGATGGACCTCCTCCAGGCAGTGCTTGCAGGCTCACCGCCTGGTCCCAGTTTAAGGAAGGGGTAAGAACCTTGGGTACATATCCAGGCCAGGGTCTCAGCCTGCCTGAATTCCAGGCACAAGTCGTTGACTGAAAGCAAGTGAGTAGAACCCTCTAGTAGAGACCATGTGAGCACAAGAACTGTATAAAAAAAGAATTCACTGGCTGCAGTGGCTCAGGGGCAGTCTCTGTATTGCAGTAGCACCAGAGATACAGTAGGCCCGAGTGGATAAAGAGGGGTGCATGGATGACCCTTGCTCCCTCAGGAACCTGATGATCAGGACGTCCCATACTTCTGACGGCTTCCGACTTCTAAACCTCCCCGTCCAATTCTTTGAACGTGGGTGCCATCTCTGCAATGTATTCAGTGGAGATCAGGAAGACTGTCAAGGGAACTAGATCTGGTTGGGCCAAAAAGGGGCAACTATAAGACCTATTCCACTCTTGACTTAGCACAGTAGATGCAAGCGACATGCATGCACAAGATAGGAGTATTGCTCAACACTAGTTGTGATAATTCACTGAGCTTCAGGAGCATTTCTGCTCAACACCTGATTGTGATGAAATTCACTGAGTTTCAGGAGCATTTCTGCTCAACGCCTGATTGTGATGAAATTCACTGAGCTTCAGGAGCATTTCAGTTAAAGCTGCCACATAAACAAAGAGACTGAATGTGATCACTGAACCAAACACTAACACTTGAAAGCAACATGGACTGAGGTGCGCACTTGTTCAGCAAGTAGGCTAAAGTGACCTGCGCATTCATTTTAGCTTATTGTAATGCATTCAATTAAATAAACACTTGTTAGGGATGATAGTGTTGATGATTTACCTTGGATACAAGCGAGAGTGAGCCTGCAGTGAATTTGTGCATTGAGCGCGGAATAAGGGCAACAACAACACATATCTTTTGAGGATGTCAAATGATTGACCCGCCACAAGAAAAGACACAACATTGACCCGCGTTCTGTTTTCTATCATGCGCCGTACATGTTTACGATGAAGTAATATGCATGCAAACGCACCAGGGTTCGATAGAATCAAGTTGAGTGTGAAACCAGACCAACGCTGCGGGGGGCGCCGGGAACAAACGTGCTCGGGTTCTGACCGCAGCAAACAAGCCCAATGTAAAAGCCCAGTGGGATAGTCATGATGATTGTTGATGAGAGGTTAATTGGATTAATTATTTGAACGTGCTCCTCCTATGTTTAGTGAAACATAATTTAAAGTAAATGGGAAATTACACTGATTAGTTTTTTTTTTTTTTTTTGCATGTTACACCCAAAACACACCCATTACTCATTTTTTAAGAGAATAGGGACAATCCTTTTAAAAAGGACAATCCTTTTAGATCCTGCACTGGGTGCGCTGACCATTTTTCCCCCATTGTTAGACTATCAAAAGTGGATTTGGACTTATCCAATTAATTTTAAATCCTAATCTTAAGGATTTATGCAGACTTAAGTGTACTAAGTGCACTCGCACTGTGGGCTTTAGACCATGTGCTTACAGTACATCATTAAGGGCCCTATATCTCAATAAGAACTTCTATAGATGTCTGACAGAAAAAAAGTAAATCTGGTAAGTAATAAGAGTCCTACCATGCATTTCACCCTTTTTTATATAAAATAAATATAAAATCTTTATATTTCTATATTTTTGATGCATTGGCTTTTTTTTTTTGTTTTTTTTGTTTTGTTTATCCAACCAAAATGTGACATCTGCCCAACGAGCTTGATGTCAAACAAACGTTGGATTTAGAGGTCAGCCCGGATTTAGAGGTTTTTATACTAAAATGCCTGACCGATGTTACAGTCTACACCCTCTGCCTGCTGGGAGCATTTACCAAGTAGGTGATTCTAATCAACCAATTCCTCAACACCTGGTTAGCACTGCTTTCTCTCTCCAGTAGGTTTTCATTGAAAGCATTGGTAACCCCACTTTCAAATTGGCAAGTGATTGATTTAGATGTGATCTAAACTGCTGTTTAATAAAAAGAGGATAACCGATGGTTAAGTTGAGAACAGTGTGAAAGTCTTCTTTTGTGTTTCATCTAATGACTATTGTATTTGCATAAATTTTCCCTGACACTTGGGATTCATTTGAGTGGCGTTTGGTTTGTCACTATATTGCATTCAGGCACAAAACGTCATTATTGTAGAGGACAACCACTTACTCCTTTATCATAGCAGTCAGGACTGGCATCATCTTTGCAGCATTTTTCTGCAAGCTTGGTCATTTCATCTGCCACACAATTCACCTCCTCGAATGTGCCATTCGGGAACTTTTGACTGTAGAGGACAATGAACCTGCAGCAGGATCAACGAGAAACATAACATATCCAAGCATGTTCAAAGAATCTCCTTTATTTTTCTTTCTTTTTTTTCATATACATCAAACAGAAATGCAGGGATAGCCTATTCTGTGGACAAAAGTGAATGGAATTAAACTATAATTGACTAAATAATTAACTAATTTTTAATAACATTGTATTTGAGAATTAAATATTTTGAGCATATAAAGCAGCAACAAGACGTGTTATAGACGCGAATTTGATGTGCTATTCCCGTCTTGTGTGAACGCACAGTAACACGCCTAATGTTTGACGGACCAGCTCAAATAACAGTTGCTATGATGTGTGATTGGACAATGGCCGTATTGGGGGAAGGGCTGGCAAAAGGAAAATTGTGTAAATCCTGAAATAACTTTATACTTGCATTTCTTTGAATTTTTCAGTTCCAATGGCTTTGAGCTTTTGGCAAACATTTTCTTTGGTATAATTCTTGCCTGTAGAGATACAAAAACAAAATGAAAATTAAATCGATAAAAAATAAGCACAAATGCACTAATCAACATAGCAGTCATGAACTATAATTTATTGTCCTTATATGGCTGATTTATTCATGGCTCTAGCTATAATATAACACAATTCCAATGTATATGCTGACTTAATATTGTAAGCTTCAATCTAACATCATTAACACAAATTCACCATGTAAGTGCCAATATTAAACATTTAAACTGAGATATATTGACAATGAGTCAATAATGATTTTACCTTTTACCACTGTGGAAATACAGCAAAATACCTTAAGATATATTAAATTAGATAAATCTGATCTTCCTACCTTTGTCAGCAAGCAACGCTGGAACTATTAACACAATTAAAATGAGAGCTGTGTTCCTCATATTTTACCACAGGTAATAATGTGACAATTTCAAGACGAGTTCAAATTAGGAACTGCCTCTGCATTGCAGTTTTACAAGAGACAAAAGTGTGCATAGTAAAAAATTAACTTCAGTAAAAACAGACAGTTATGTAAATGTTTAAATGCAAACAAGACTCTGGTTTTCCCCTTGACCCCATGACACAGCTTGACAGCTAAAACACTAAAACTTTTTGAAAGCAGTGATTCAAATGTACAGTGGTCTACAGAAGCAGCTTTTGTGAACATTTTTAAAGGCAATTTTAAAGTTGATCTAAATTAGATAACAACATTGGAGTAAGTGTGGTGACAACCGACAGATCCCCATCCCCATCAATTCGCAAGATAATGCGAGAAGACTACATTCATCACGAGTTTGATGTATGATATGTGGCAAAAGGTATGTTTTAGAAATCAATGCCTACTGCAATCTGGTATGTTATTTTTTTTTTACTGTTATTTAGTGATAGAAAAACGCAGCATTCAGCATTCAGCAGCATTCCTGGGATCAAACACCTGTGTCATTATCTTGGTGGGTCCATCTCTGAACAAATTTCTCTGAAAAGAATTACTCTGAAAATTTACTCTGAAATTACTCTGAAAAAAAAAGACTGATTGGTTCACCCTCAAATCTTACAACATAACAATATTCCTACCGTGACTGTTTAGGCTCACTGCCACTCCCATCATTCTCTTTCTATGCACCCTTTAAACAGCATTCACCGGTTCTAACCCTATAGCGTTTTACCAGAGCGAGGCAATTATTCATAATTTAAACTGCAATCAAATGGATTTCCCCACACATTTTCTCTCTGTCCTCTGCGTGGCATTTTATTCTTTCTGTGTGTCAGTGACATCAAAAATGCACAAATCACACATATATCGTGTGTATCTCCACCCGTGAGGAAACAAGAGCAGGGAGAATAAACATCAATATTCTATAATTGATTAATTGCTATAATTCATTATGAGCATAGTCTTCATAGAAAGTGTTATCATGAATTCTTACTTTACAATAAACTGCCAAGTGCCTGCTGTCAGATGAGACCAAATATTTGCTTTTAAGATTCAATGTAAGCATAACAATTAGTTCAATACTAAAGGCAAAATTTGTAGATTAAATTGTACATACATTTATTTTTAGGGTCGAAAATTGTATCAAGCTCCTTCTGCAGAGGTTTCAATCTCAGCATTCTTCAGACCTACCTATTTTATTTTTAAATCCTCTCTCCATCTTTCTCAAATAGACTGATCCTTTCGGCTGACCATTTCGATTTTACTCAAATGACCCCAACTACTTTCGTGCTGCTTACTGTTGAAGATCCATTTCTTTGTAACTATGGCTGCTGAGTTTCTAAGCCACACCATGGAAAGGCTTTAATCTATAGTATAGATCAACAATTCCCATCCCAGACCTGTAATGGTCTAATAATCCAAAAGGTAGAGGTACATTATTAGTTCATATTGTTTTCAGCTATGTGTTATGAAATCAGTTTCTTTTGTCGCACACCTTTCACATTCTCAAAAAAACATTAATGTTTCTGCTTTGGCTGAGAGTCTGTTCTGCTTTTCAATCATCAGCATTAGTACGCCACAGTTGCCATCGTTTTCAATACTTTAATAGGCATTTGGAGTCTTAGAGCTTTGCTGGTTCACAGTACAAGTACACATTTATTTTAAGGATCTTGTGCACTGCAAGACCAGCTCAGATTTTTTTCATGACTCTTTTAGAGTGCTCTTAGATCTGAGCGAAATCGACTGATACAGTACCCATAAGTATTTACAGACTTTAAGTCTTTGGCATATGGAGATTAGTGCAAGAGGCCATGATTTTAAATCAGCATTTTAAAATGAGCAACTGAAAAGGTTTGGTGAATAATTAGGCTTGGTTAAAAATATTTTTATTTATGAAGAGTTCAGATGCAAAAGCCTCTAAGTGCCATTTGAAATGTTCTTCTAGAATGATAATTTTTATTAAGCTTGTATATTTAAGTTCAGTAATTTCACTTAAATGACAATTACTAGGTAATCTTCATTGAAATTTAAGTGAAAGTTCTGAACTTAAATATACAAGATTGATAGTTATCATTCTAGAAGAAAATGTCAAATGGCGCTTAGAGGCTTTTGAACTCTTCATATATAGTTTATAAAGTAAATATAAAGTTTAAAATATATTTTAAGTTGTATTACTTTCACATTAAATGAAAAAAAAATGTAGAAACAAGACCATTTTAAATTTGTTTAATGGTATTGTTTTACCTTTTTTTTTTACTTTGCACTTGGAAGGATTGACGGACTGTTACTCTGATACAGTTACTGATGCCATATTATTACAAAATATTATTATTATTATTATTTTACTTAAATTAACTTAAATAAATCTTCACATAAACCCAATGTAATAAATGTAAAATATATTCAGGCTCAGCGCTAAGATTTTTTTGCATGTCCAAACAGGCCTGTTCAGATTTTTATCTGCCTTGCAAAAATGCACAAAAGTTACTGTTTTTGAATAATTTTTGTATCTGTGAAGTTAAACACTGCATAAATGTACTGTCTGCATAAATTATAAATCAAAATTTAGAATAATCCTTTTTAGAAAGTGATTCAGTCAAGAGCAGTGATTGATTTTCTCTTTGTCTTTTGTTCTTTGACTAACATTAAAGGTTTTGTTCTATTTTGGTATTTGGTATTTTCCATAATTACCATGAACGCAGCATATAATAGATGGGCCAGCCGCGGAAGCTTGACAGGCATAGCAACAGTAACTAGGGAGGGCGGGGCTTAGCGAAGGGTCAATTATATAAGTTTGTCAAGTGACGAGAATACTTTTTGTGCGCAAAAAAAAAAAGCAAATTTGACGACTTTATTCAACTATTCATTTACAGGGGTTGGACAATGAAACTGAAACACCTGGTTTTTACAACACAATAATTTGTTAGTATGGTGAGGGCCTCATTTTGCATCCAAATACAGCACCAATTCATCTTGGGAATGACAGGTAGAAGTCCTTCACTGTGACCAGAGGGATTATGAGCCGTTCCTCTTCCAGAACAGTGTCCAGGTCACTATATATGATGCTGGTGGACTTGCTGCTCCAAAACACCTCAATAATATTTAGATCTGGTGACTGTGCAGACCATGGGAGATGTTCAACGTCACTTTCATCTTCATCAAACCCTTCTGTCACAAGTCTTGCTGTGTGTGTTGGTAAATGATCATGCTGCTGATACACGGTTTGAGCATCAGGTGCTCATGATCCTCCAGAAGGGTTTGGTAGTCCTCGGCAGTGTCGTGTCCATCAAAAACAATCAGGATTGTCATGATATTGGAGCTCAAACCATCACTGATCCACCCGTGCTTCACTCTGAAGATTGGCCGCCAGGCATATAGATGTGAAACCTCCAACATTGGCCAGTGTTTCAGTTTCATTGTCCAACCCCTGTACTTCTGTGTTTGCCTCTGAGTGAGTTCACTTAGTGAGTTCAGAAACCCAGCGCTTCTGGGTTGTATGTCAGAACGTGAGCTCACTCAGTAAACATTTGTCCATTTATTTTGCGGAATTTTAATATATTGACCTGAAGAAAGCAGGCAGTACTTTTATTGTCAAAAAGAATCTTAACATTGACAAAGCATAGGTAACATTAAACCTACATACTCATTTTCACAAACACATGCAGGAAAATAAAATGATATAAAATTATTAATTATAATTATAATATTATTATTATAATTAAGTTTCTTAAAGAAACGGATTTAGACTTATTTTTGCACCGCGGAACACTGGATTAGTTTCGGCGGACCGATTATACTGGAGCACCAACTAGCGTTCATGACTTTTTTTACAGTCTATGCTTCAGACAACTAAACAACAAACCACAGTGAACATGAACGAAGAAGCTGACGAGACCGATTTGGTTGGTCCCGTGGATGGGAAATTTTGTTATAAAAACAAACGGATGGAAGCGTCATTAAGAGCATGGTTGTGTGCAAGCTATGCAACAAGGAATTCGCATATCACATCGACCCTCAAGTTTCACCTCAACGCAAACATATAAGTTACAATTGCACTGGTCTGCTGGACTTGATTGAATAAAAATAAACAATATTTTGTTGCTTAAGCAGCTTATGTATTCAGTCATTATTCAATGGTATACTAAAAATCCATGTGAAAAAAAATCTTCTCACTGTTCTCAGTTCAAATATTTATGCAATTAAAATGCGATTAATTTCGATTAATTAATTAAAATGCCTCTAATTAATTAGATAATTTTTTTTAATCGAGTCCCGAGTCGAGACCCGATGGCGCGGGCAACTCTGATGTGCGACCAATGAGCTAGCCCAACATCAGATCCCACCGAGGAGGCATGCCCTAGTCTATATAGACCTCCAAATTCGCCATTATAGCAGATTTTTACTCCTTTAGCGACAGTACACTCGTCCCTGAGCGTCCCTGATTTGTTATTCGCCGTAGAACGTGCCTTTCAGCCTGAGCCTTTCAGCCTGAGCCAGCCTCTATTAAGCGGACTTCGCCTGCACGCCGTTGTCTCAACTGTGGCTATCTGGTGACAGCCTATATCCTTTGCAAAAAGCTTCTAACTATTTCTAACTAGGCCCTCTTCATGAGACAGACCAACACATGAGCTGCATTTCCTGCCTGAGAATCGACCACGCGATTTATATATATATATATATATATATATATAAATAACCCATTTTGGTTATGAAAATAATCCTGACGGTGTCTGGTTTTGTTAGTATAAAATGTTAGTTGTGACTGACTCATATACTGTATATATTATTCAGGCCTGACGGTGACGGTATTTGTGGGTTCTGGCTTGTTCTGCCAGCATAGCTACGCAATACGAAGTGACCGTTCGAAAGGGAACTATTTGGTTACTATCGTAACCTCAGTTCCCTGAGAGAAGAAACGAGTATTGCGTAGCCGGCAGCACTAAAGTAACTGGTGAAGTTGTGACTTCAGTCAAATAAACCTGCAATAATGGCGAATTCAGGGGTCTATATAGACTATTGGGCTC